GCTGTGGTATGTTCAATGGTCTCATGTGCACGTGAAAGTTGGACAATTAAGTAGGAAGATCATAGAAGAATTGATGCATTTGAGTTATGGTGTTAGACAACAATATTAACTGTACCATGGATTACCAGAACAGATGAATCTGTGTTGGAAGAAGGACAGCTAGAATGTTCCTTAATAGCCAGGATGGAGAGACCTGTCTCTCATACTTTGGACCAGTCCCTGGAAAAAGACATCACGCTTGATAAAGTGGACGGACAAAGAAAGAGAGGGAGACCCCCAATGATAGGATTAGCATAGTAGCAGCAGGAGCGGTTCATGGGTACCAAGATTGTAAGGATGACTCTTCCTAGGCTGGCGCTTGGCAAGAAAAAGGCCACGTTCAGTTCATGCGCCAGGATAGTGAAGCGCAATGGCGAAAAGCCGGATGAATTCGAGTCTGGTATTTCTCAGGCTCTTCTTGAGCTAGAGATGAACTCCGACCTAAAGGCTCAGTGAAGAGAGCTGGATGTAACTGCAGCTAAGGAAATTGAAGTTGGTGGTGGTTGGAAAGCGATTATAATCTTTGTTCCTGTTCCTTCACTGATGTGTTTCCAGAAAATCCAAGTCTGACTAGTACATGAATTGGAGGAAAAGTTCAGTGGAAAGCACATGGTCTTTATTGCTCAGAGGCGAATTCGGCCTAAACCAACTCAAAAAAACCGTACAAAAAATAAGCAAAAGCCTTGGTTGGTCTTCCCAAGTGAAATTATGGGCAAGAGAATCCGAGTAAAGCTGGATGGCAGCCGGCTTATAAAGGTTCATTTGGAACAAAGCACAGCACAACAATGTAGAATACAAGGTTGAAATATTTTCTGGTGTGTATAAGAACCTCACAGGCAAGGATGTTAATTTTGAATTCCCAGAGTTTCAGCTGTAAACAAAAATGATGAAATGAGCTATCATTCACAATTAAAAAACAAACCCAAACATTTTAAGGATGGCACAGGACTGGGCAGTGTTTCGTTCTGTTGTGCATAGGGTCAGGGTCGCCACGAGTTGAAACCCACCTTATGCACAACAGTCATATGCACAGGAGAAGGAAACCCTGCCCGCTCCTGGGCCAACCTCACTGTTGTTGCCATGCTTGAGTCCACTGATGCTGCCACTTAGCCAAGCCATCTCATTGGGGGGGCTTTCTCTCCCTCCCTGACCCTCCACCCTACCAAACATGATATCCTTCTCCCAACAATAAGTCCACGGTTTGAGAGACAAAGTTTGGCCATCTTGGCCTCCAAGGAGCACCCTGGCTGCACTTCTTCCAAAACAGATCTGTCGGTTCTTTTGGCAGCCCATGGCACTTTTAGTATTCTCCTCCAACACCACAACTCAAAATGACCCTATATTTGTTATGTGCTGTGGAGTCCATTCCGACTCATCGTGACCCTGTATAGGGTTTCCCGAGGCTGTAAATCTTTACCGGAGCAGAAAGCCTCATCTTTCTCCCATGGAACAGCTGGTAGTTTCAAACTGCTGCCCGTGAGATTCGCAATTCGATTTGTAACCATTACACTACCAGAAGGTTACCAAAGATTGTTGTTGTTGTTGTTAAGTGCCATTGAGTAGGTTCTGACATATAGAGACCCTGTATAGGGTTTCCGAGGAGCAGCTGATGAGCTTTGAACCACCGACCTTTGAGATTTAAGCCAATTTTGCAATCCAGAGCATTAACCCATCTTGTTGTTGTCAGGTGCCATCGAGTCAGAACCGACTCAGAGCGACCCCATGCACAGCAG